TGTTTGTTCTCGATCCCACTTCCCGTTCCCATAAGGTGTTCAGAAGCCCGAGTGGTATTTCACTTTTTTATATTTTAAAAAACTATCGTTGTCTGATATTAGTTTCTCACAGCATCACAATTTTCAAAATGTGACATAGGTTATGGTAGGCTACACCGAAATTGAAGTTATTTATTGTCGATAATATCAATCTGCAACGTTTTTTGATTCATATTCTAAGGGTGTAGATGCTTTCTAATACCATTAGATAAGTTATACGCTGATAAAAGAAATAAAGACTGAATTCACAGGATACGTTGGGATCAGATAAAAGTCGGAAAAGGTGTGAATGTTTCTATATATTGAAACAATAGTAAATAGCTAACTCTATACTGTCTGCAATAGCTCAACGAATGCTATGTATTTCGGCAATTAATATTTTAAAAGCACCCTTTTTTGAGCAGTGGATATACAACAAGAAGTCGTCATGCACGTTTGCACAGAAGTAAAATAAATCAGCTATTATTTAGAGATTGAAATTTATCAACCTCAAGAGAACTATTTCCACAATCAACTGAGTAATTAAGAAAAAGAATAAATAGTTGCACACTGATGACACCAATGAGAAAAGCAAAAATTTCATAAGAAAAAGATGATTTTAATGTTTTGTAAGATAACCTTGATAATCGTGTTTTCGATGATGAATACAAAGAAGCTGATTGTTGTCATAATGTAAGATATAGTGAAAAACGAATGCATTTTCAAAACTTTGTCGATAAATATTTGCTTTCTTTTGGTTATTATATACGAAAATCCTTATTGAAAATAAAAGTTTGTTACACAAACACACTTTAGCGCATATAGAAATAGGACAAGCAGGTTTCCAGGAATGGATATTTTTTTATCGTTCCCGCTTCCGTGTTCCCGTCCCGAAATCTTCCCGGAAATATACGGGAAAAATTTGTTTCCCCAGGACTCTAGTAGCCATTATAGAAGATTAAAAAAAATCATTTTTTGCATAGATTAAATGTTTAAGAAGATTGATATTTCTATTCAAATATATTTCTGACAAGCATAATGTTGATAGAGTGCTGCTAGGAATTTTTTTTTTCTAAAGCGTTATATTATTAGTCCAGCGACGTCTTCCGTCCTGAATCAGCTCTTTCTGTTGTTGGCTATGTTCACCACAAACAGCGGTCTTCTTTATCATCAGCTACATTCAGATGTCTTATGTTGTTAAAATAATGAAAATTAGCTTTCGTAAGAATAAAAAAAAAAGAAAAATAGAATGACTGAATTTTTTTATTGATAATACATATATTGTTTATAGAATATCTCTATGAAAATCTAACATACAGAGTTCAATACAATATAAACCAGTCTTACAATAGTTGATATCATTTTTTTTACCCGAGAAAATTTTCATATTGTTTTCAAATGAAATTACGTTTTTTTTTCGAAAATGCTTTAAGAAAACTCGAGTTCATTCATATGAATAGAAGACAGCAGAAATTAAGATTCAACGATCAAACCGTTTTCATAGATCAGCTTTATATTGGCCAACTTGCGTGCTTTCCAGTAAGTAGGACAGGATGCACAGGTTAAATCCTTATATCTGTATTTGACTGAAGACTTTCTTTTCTTAATTCAAGTATTCGATCATTGAGATCATACTCTCATAGAATTGATATTCTTCAAAAAGTTATCTCTCGCGAGCTTCTCCCAATGATCTGATACTTTATTTCACAAAAACCTCTTTAACTAAATACGGATATAGAGAGTTAATATGTGCTTCGTGCCATACCTACTGTAAAGTAAACAAGTCGCTTTGTAGATAGTTTCTATTAAGAAACGATTCGATTTCCACAATGTGACTAGGATTTTTCTTAATTTGTGAATATAGATTCAACATTTTTCTAAACAGTTTTAGAGAACTGCGTTTGAATTTGAAGTTTGCATGAAAATTTTTGGAGGTAAAAGTAACTTTTTACTATTATTAAATTGGTAGACATTCTATCCAAATATCATGTTAAATTTTCATTGGGGTATACTATAGAGAATAAATATATCACTGGCAAATATTACCTGCCAAAAGAAGCTTTTTTCTGTGTAGATACACTTGGAATTAAATCATACGAAAAATTACGTTCATTACACCTTATGTGTGTGTTATTTTCTATTTTCGTTTCCTTATTTTGTATTCTTTTTCTGTCTGTGTGTGTATCATAAGGATATTTTCCACTAACTGGAAAAAAGAATTTCTCCTTATGAAAATAAAACCATCTATATGATACTTATTTGAAAATAATCGTTCTACAACTTCTATGGATCAACTGTTTTGAGGAAGATAGCAAAATATAGAGTATATTGGGCAAGGTTGTAAATAATTAGAAGTAAAATTCAAAATAATAAATAACTTCTATTTAGAAATATGAAGATTGAATGATAATCGATTCAATGGAGACAATCTATGATTCTGAAACAAAGCTCCACAAAGATGTTCGAATACGTTGAAAGCTTTTGATCACATTAGAATGTTAGAAGAAGATTTTCCTCTTTCTTACTATCCTAGAAAATCAGAAATAAAGCTTTCATTTTTGTTATTTTTGAATTTCATCTTAGGAAGCGTATTTTAAATCAAATTACATTTTTAAACCGTATTAATCTCTCTGCAAATTTATTCCATGATTCCAGTGCTTTTCTAATTACATTATCTGTTGTCGTAAAAAGTATCATTTATTCCTTTATTTTTCTTTTATTTTTTAAAAATAAATGATTCATTTACATTTATTTTTTAAAAATAAAGTATTCCTTTATTTATTTAACTTTATTTTTTCTTAAATAAATGTTCATTTATCTTTATTTTTTAAAAATAAAGGATCCATTTATCTTTATTTTATAAAGTAAAAGTAAAGTACCATCCCTAATCATGACATCATTAATTAGTTTGTCTAAACATAATGCTGTTATGTTTTCGAAACAGTTTTTTTTTTCAATTTTCTCAGAATATTTAAGAGCTAGACATTTCATTAAAACGCCTTTCAGAGTGGTTATCGGAATTTTTCTTTTGAGGATTTATTAGATCTCTTTAAAGTTTTGGAATATCTTTATCTATATGAATTATTATGGAAATAATGATGTCGTTTATGAGATTCACCAAAATATATCTCAATGTAACTAAATTAACTATTTGATTAATTATTATTCAGTGAATTGATTCTTGTATTATACAGATTGTCATACAAAATCCTTGACATAAATGGATCCCTTAGTGGATTCATCCTAAATATAACAGGATCGATTTATATCAATATTTAATGTTCTAAGGATTTTACAATGAACTAACAATACCAAATGACATAGTGTTGACAGTGATGACTAGTTCGAATCCTTCTTAAGCTCAATTGTTATTTTCTTACTTTGAACTTACTTTTAATTCATACGTCATAGAATAACCCTGCGCAACATAATAACACATAAGTGAGTTTCAAAAAAAAATAGAATAATTTAGTTTAAGTTTTAATTAATAAATAATGAAGTGCACACAAGTTAAATTTTAAATTTATTAAATTATCAATAAGTTAAATGTAAAATAAATGAAAAAGGTCAATAATTTGAAACTTTTTATTTCAACAGCAGCGAAAATGTTTTGTAATTGACAATATCAGTCAAGAAAGACTATCGAAAATGACAGAATTTACTTTTGTAGAAAAACTGCAAAAGTATCTACGTTGTCTATTTGATAACGAACAAATTATCAATGTATCGAATGAATTTAACAAATGATGGACAATTTGTTATTCATATATTAGAGAATTAGTTCGTGCAAAAAAAAAAAAAAGTTAATCTCCTAACAAAAATTCGTTTTACTCTCGGAAATGACTTCTCACTTGTTCTCTTTTTCAGTAAATGCGACCGTAGTATGACCCGTAATCGCAAAAAATTACAATACATTTAAATGTAGTAAAGAAACAAAATCGTAATTGTGCATAGCTGCGATAAAAAAAGTAGCATTTGTGCGTCGTTGCGATGAAAAAATTACAACAACACACAACCACAATGTTTTTCTTTTCTACACGTAAATGCTTCGTGATTCGATCATAATTGAAAACATGCTTTTGTTGACAAGAAGCCATCGCAAGAACTGTTAGCAAAAGCCGAAATATCGCTGATCACATAATATTTTTTCTATGTCACTTGTTTATTGAAGAAAAGCTTTCTTTTCTATCGTATACCTAATACTCCTATTTTAATATTATTATTTTTTTAAGTAAGCATCTACTACATTCTTGAGATTCAATGTTCTCTAATTTTTTTTCAAATATTTTAGAGAAATCACATCAAATTTTAATACATGAAATCAAGTTAGAGAAAGGATGACTTGCGACACAATAAATATGGACAACTTAAATTCAAACGAAAACCATGAACAAACTCGGTTATATTTCACTTTCATTGATCGAATCAACTGTCAAAAAGCATCGTATGATCATTTGAATGTTCTCTTTCTAACTACTCGCTATTTATATGAGAACAGCAACGCTATTTTATATAAGATGTTCACTCTCTTCTTTAGAAAATCCTATTCTTCGCAAATAACTAGGTATTGGTTGAAATTTAAACTTTCTCTCAAACATGTTTTCTAAGAAATTTATGCATTTTTCAAAGGTTTTTTTTTTGCTCAAAACATAGAAAAAAAATGGAAAATTCTCCAGCAAAGTTTAGGATAGAATGAATACTGTTTTGTTTTTGGTTTAGAAGTTTTAAGAAAAAATAAGTTTTTGTCCGACGAGTTTCTTTACATCTGATTGTTACTTCAAGTAAAGCCAGATCTATGGTCGTGCTTTGACGATGAGTGGATATTCTATGTTGCCTATGAAAATATTTTTTGATGTTCTTTTAGTTATGTTGATCTTATCATTATTGGATCTATTTTACTTGTTACTGCAACTCTCGTATTCATAGGAAAAAATTCAAGTCATAACAATCTCTTCTTTGGTTCAGAATTAACATTTCGTAGAATGACTACAAAGCAAAAAGCAAATAATGTGCCTCGTAGCATATGGCCAATCAATAAACTTGTTGTAGTACCAGCCATGTGGAAAGAAATCAATTGGACTAATCCATTGAGTTGGCCACTTTGGCTTCGTACAGGACTCAATATGACTAAAAACAATTCAGTACCATATCATGTTCATCTCTATCAGCGTATGGATCCTCAATCTAGACCTCCGTATAACTGGCCTTATTGTCGAAATGTTCACGAAGAAGCTGGTGTTTATTTACAATTTATTTACGATTACTATTATGATTTACCAGAGAAAATTCTATTTCTTCATGGAAATCCATTTGCTCATTCCACACATCCAATTGAAACAGCTTTATGTGTACGTGACGATGTTCATTATGTTAATATTAATTCATATTGGATACAAAATCGACCCTGGTCAATATGGAGCCAAGATGCCAATGAAAATGGAACATTAATGTATCCATGTGCAAGTCGAATATTAAAACTATTAGGTTACAATCCTGAACTTCAATTAAATCCTTATAGAATTAATCCAAAAGATAATAGTTTCATTTCAACATATTGTTGTGCTCAATTTTACGTAACAAAACAACGTATTCATCACTATACATATGAACAATGGTTAAAATTGTATAATGCTAGTCATGAACCATATTGTACTACAGAACGTGATCGTGAAAAACCTGGTGAACCTGGTCTGAAATGGTTTGGAGGAAGTTTTGAACATCTTTGGCATGTTATACTTGGCCTTTATTCGACTAATATGCAAGTTCCGATTAGTGGTACAAATACAGATCGATGCCATCTATTTCGTTCATCATGTCTAGAATCACCATGTTAACTGTCTCTTGCATTATGTTGTCACTATGGAAATGTTTCGTAGGCGACGATCTCTCGCTCGAATCTTATTCACTTCACAACATTTCTATTCTTCTTCCTTGTTAGTTATGGTACAGTTGAAGGAGATAATTATCAGTGATATTCACTCTTTGCAATTCATTTGTCTCTATGGAATATATGTGCTTATTTTTTTTTCCTAATACATGACAGATAGAAGATCCGAAATGAATTGAGAATTATGTGAAGAAGAGTTTCTTTCTTATTCACGGACACTTATATCCATAAGCAGCTGAAAGTCCAGTCATTGTTTTTCGATCAAGTATTAAGAGAATATGATGGATATGGTGATCATTATCGAATTCTCAGATGTACAAAATCTTGTTCGAGATGCAGCAGTTCCGAGCATGTAATATACATGCGATTTGTGTATAATAAGATTATCATTGATCATGAAAAGACGAATAGCTCGTTTAATCTAACGAATATACTCTATATTCGAATCAATTTTAATTCTCAATTAATCAAGTTCTACTATTTCTTTTTGATCTTTGCCTATTTCATTAATCACCTGTTTACGTTTTGTTTCGTAGAATCAATCAATTATTTACTGAGACTCACAATACTATTTTTCAAAAATCTTTAAAACAAGATAGTCTATTCGGAGATTCACTTTTCACTCTCTATCATAGAATACTGATTTCGTATGTGAGTGGTATTTATGTTAACTCGAACAGATCTGAATGCTTTTTTTTAAATGATTGATAGATAAATGTTCTTGATAGTGATGATATAATGTGAAAAGGTAGACGTTTACATGTAAAAGTCGCTCGTGCTCGTACACTGTGGACGATGCCACGTTTTCTTGTTTGCAGTAAAAGAAAAAGTGTTTAATGTTTCACAGAATAATATTTGCATAAGGCCTGAAAAGGTTTCTTTTTTATTTACTCTTTACTTCTTACAATTATACTAAAAGAAGAAGAGAAAAAACAGGTTTAGCAATTATATTCTCAAGGAGAATCATTTGTTTAAATATTTATTTATTTAAAAGTCAACTGTTGCAATTGCTTGGATGATATTGAAAAAGAAATTTTTGAAAACTTATTCTTGTACGAGAATCCTCTGAAATGATAATTTTGAGAAAAAAAACCGACCGTCAAAAGGTGAAGTTAATTCTAAAATTGTGAACGATTAATATGATTAGAGTCTACGATAAAACTTTCGTTAGAAAACTAGTAGGATTTTTTGCTTCTTTTACAAAACCTCCAATCAAAAACAAATTTTTTAAGATATCTAATTTTTAATATATTCTGGTTTTCGATTACGAATAAGAACGCTTATATCTAATTCAACTATAAACATATGATTAGCTATGGCAGTATCAGTTTGAATAAAGATCTTTATTCTTCATATAGAAGAATCTTAATGTATTATGTACAATAGGAGAGATTCAAGCAATATTAATTGATGTAGTACTGATATAATAAAATCGAAGAATATCATCGATGACCTCTTTCATATAAAATCTTATTTATTTAAAAAAAATAACTTTGTGTTTAATAGTTGATGAATATGATATTTGCGTTTTTCTTTAAATATTTTGTTCATAATAAATAGTTTCAATCTTGTTTCATTAAAATAATATGAAGAAAGTAAATTATAATAATTTACAACATGAAAGGAAATAATTGTGTAATTGATATTAATTTCATTAATAGAATTCAAATGTTTACTGCAGAACCATATGATAACACAACTAAAGTCCTTCGATTACTAAAAGAAATATACCGAGAAAAACAAAAAAAAACAAGCTTTTTTTTATTGTTCTTATCCTTGGATATACTACATCAACAATAATCAATCATAATCTTATGTTTTTCAAACACTAGAAACATTAAAATTGATTAGATAATGATCGAATATTCACATTATCAACCACACCCCGTCCCTATAAATTACATTCAAAAGCTTTGTATTAATCAATATAGCAGTTTGGCAATACACATGCTTTTCGAATAAAATCTTTTAAAAATTTCATATATTTTAATAAGGATATGATTATGACGAATAATCAGGAACTTAAAAAAAATGATTCAATTTTAAATATTTCTATTAAATAAATCAATTTGATTTACTTTCATTGAAATAAATTTTCGATCACATAAAAATCGACCTAATCCAATAAATGTTTGTAAAGCAGTTACAACACGTTCCATATTTTTATTTATCAATGCTTAACTAAATAAAAGTTTTTAATAATATCTTGAATATTCAAAAAAAAAAAACTCTCATTTTAGAATCTTTTGAAAATGAGCATTTAATTCTTGTTCATCTGAGGATGATAATTTTAACATTAATTTTCTTAAGGTGTTTTAATAAATATATTCAATAAGACATGGTATACATGATTAAAAGAATATTTAATGAAACAAGACAATTTTCTAATGTTGTATCATCCTAAACAAAAATTAAATTTCTATTATTTTTATTCAAAGCAAAAAATGACTATGAAAGTGAAATAAATGTTTTTTTACCTTAAAATATTTCTTATTCAATTTGACATATCGATTAGTGTTAATATATCAATGTATTTAACAAGACGACGTACTATTGTATATAAATAAAAAGCTAAAATGATAAAAATTCTTACAAATTATTCAAATATTAAGTATATGTCACACTTTCATCTTGAACATTTTTGAATGTTCAAATAAATGCAACATTTCATTGACTAAGAAACAAATTAGTGAGTGAGTATAGGTGTAGATGAAGAGAAAATTAACATTTATACTAATATGAAAATTGTAATCCTACGAATTTTTCTGTTTAGCAATAAATACGAAGAAACGAATATGTAAAATTCAACTCCAATGATGATTAGAATCAATCAAAACAACAACGAAATCTTAATTATTAATAAACAAGATTATGTCAGTTGAGAATAAAATTCGATAGTACAAGTGAAACAAAACAGGCCATGTTCATCAAAAATAAGACAAAAAACAAACAACATTGACATGTTCATAGTCGAATATAGAAAATAGATCATCGATAGTTTGATGATAAAACAACGTAAATAAAAAGAAAGATTTTCTTTTGATTTTTATTAAATGAAAGACAACTTAATGAAATATTTAAAAGATTTCTGTTTGAAAAGGTTGTGGATGAATATGCGGGTCTAGTATCCCTTCTCACACACACATACACGGTATGGAAAACCAATCAGTTTGTTTATTTGGTTGACCAACACAAAAGTATCTAATCTATTTGCATCAAAGGGAGGGTGTGTGAATTCTTAGATAGAATCAACATGCATCGATAGTAACATAAACATGAATAACATTCTGTATTGAATCTAGAGTTTTGATTCAAAGTATTGATTGTTGTAATATTTTGTCAACTCTATCTTCTTAAATTTTCTTGTAGACTTATTCAATTTGACATTTAAGTCAGAATATATCTTTAATATTAAATTCCACATCTGAATAGATTCAATAAAAATTTAATGACCAGAATTTTTCACTTCATCTTCTTTTTTGTTGACAGTAGAAGTAGACCTTTATATAACTTGAGGGTGAAAGTGAGATAGGCTTAATTATAAGAATAAGAATAAAGGTGTAATGAGTTATCTAAGTCTCAACTCCAATCAGTATAGGTCTGTGTGTACACGTTTCAAGACATTGTTGTTCATTATGTAGTGGAGAAAAATCTTTTCTTCGAACAATATTTGATTGAACAAATTCTTCTTATGTGTAAACTACACCTTGTAGAACAACAATCAAATTGTATTAGTACTTCAGTTCTTGAGGAAAAATATCATATTCGTCATATTATTTGTGAAATATTATATTGTTTACGAGAGATCATAGATTATATACTTCATTTTAGGTAACAACATCCATGAAAATGTACAAAGGCACTTCTAACCATCATCTTCAGTTATTTATATTTTTATACTTTGTACGACGAGCGATCTTATCCATGTCATAGATTAAATATTTTGGTAAGTTTTAATTCATTGCTGCAAACATGATGGAAAAGCAAAAAGTTGAAATACTTGATCAATAGTTTTTTTTTTGTATGGAAAATACGAGTGTTAATACTTTACTACGCTCTTAGTTTTCTCTTTCAAAGTCATTCATTAGATAAAATGTTTTATCTACCTTTGTCATTTCATCATTCTTGTCTTAATCGACGAAATTTCATTTTCTCTCGTGCTTGTGTTGAGTCACAACATATATGTGCATGATCTTTTTATTGCTTATGAGTCATTTACTGTTTCATCATCAAATTGTGTGCACATTCTGTTCTTCTCATTTCCATATAACACACATTTTTCTATGCCACATTCTTCTTTTTACTTGCTTTGCAAAATCTACATACTTTTATAACATTACTGACTATGACGATCCGTGTTGTGTCGTATAATTTGTTAGTACCCATTTACGCTGATTGGCCAGGATATTACTTCAAATCTCAACCTGAATATCGTAAAACCGATCATCGATGGAACTTAATTCAATCTGAATTAGAACAACAGATTATCAATCATGAAAACACAATCATCTGTTTACAAGAACTGTGTAGTACTCTGTTACCCAAACTCGAATTATTTTTTCGTCGATTAAATTACACATTGTTTCATAAACTTTATGGTTCTTGGTACAATAATTATATGGGTGTAGGTATGGCAATTCCCACTTCAATGCAGCTCAACTCCATTTCTATCATCAACATTGGAGATCATATCCGGTCGATCAGTAAGCCTCGCAAGAACAATACGAATCTTTTGACATGGGGATGGAATTTGTATCAATTTATCATGAGCAAACTCAATCAGCCTACATCTGAACCTTGGAAAACTGCCATGACCAGAGCTAATACGCTCATTTGTTTACAAATCATAATTGATAATAAACCATTATGTATTGGTACATACCATATGCCATGTCTTTACTATCTACCCGATGTCATGGTAATTCATTCTTCGATTGTAAAAGATTTGATGTTTCAATTAGCAGCTGGACAAGATTTTATTTTAGCAGGTGACTTCAACTTCGAACCTCAAAGTCTCTCTTATCAAGTTTTAACAGAAAAAAATTATGTTGGCTACAATTTACCGGAATCTAATACATATGAAATCTCTTATCGACTTAATAATGAACAAATATTGAAGAGTGCCTATCAAGAGAAGAATGGAAGCGAACCTAGTTACACAAATTACTCGCATACATCGAGTTCACCAAAATACTGTGGGACACTGGATTACATCTTTTTTACTGGCCATCTTACAGTAGAAAACGTATTGGAATTACCAGATAATCCAACAAGTGAATCGTATCCTGATGAAACACATCCTTCAGATCATCTAATGATTGCCGCAACATTTCAATTGTGACTAATTTAGAAAAACACTTACTATTTTTCAAACAATAAAGAGAAAAACTCCTCACTTAGTCATGATAATTCATTTTTTGTTAATAGTCACACAGTATGGCTAGAAAACTGACGTCTTTGTGAATATTATTTAAGCTTCTTTTCTCTGTGTTGTTCTTTTGATATAACTTTATAATGTTCAGTGTTATTTTAAGTTTATTGGTAGCTCCCATATGAAAATTTTTCGAGCCTAAACGCGTTTTAGATGCCTTTGAACCGCTGTACGAAAGCGCGTTTGGACGCATCTAAAATGAAATATCTGATGCGTCTGAACACATCTGAACGGATTTCAGAAACGCGTCTACACACTCCATGAAACATCTGACGCGTTCAAACGTGTCTGGACGTATAGTGAAACATTTGATGCGTTGGGAGGCATCTGCTAGATTAGATGCGTGTGAACGCGTCTGGACGCGTTTCAGAAAATTTCGGAAAAAAGAACATCTTGTTCTCGCAGATTCGAACTGCGGCACCATCAGAACCACATGATGGTCAGCTCTATCCTAGAGGCATCGTACAGAACAAGTTTTTTTTATTTGCGACGTGTAGATGACAAGCGATTTTACAAAATCAAAAGGAAAAAAACAAGTCTCATCATATTTCATGTAAGACAAGAAAAATAATAATAAACTATTGCAATATAAAATATAACCTTCATATTTCGAACTATAATAATACGAGACTTAGCTTAGCACATTCCCTTTAATGATATAAAAGAAAATAATAGCTCAACATTCTAATAAATCTGTTCATTATCAGTGTGAATTAACATCTAACGACATAAGATCGAGCCAATTTACAATAATATTGATCGATTTGTATTTTGAGTTTCGATAAAAAGTCTATAAAAAAATAATAAATCATGTTTCTTTTCCTACTCAATATAATAATATTCATTGTCTTTTATAATGCATAGTATTCATTGAGTTTTATATAGTCTCATTAAGCTTATAGAAGAAAAAAGACATAAGAGCAAAAAAGAGACATTTTAATTTCCAAGTAGACCAATAAAAACTTTATAATTGGACTACTGTAGTTGACTTACATCACAAATCTAATCAAGAAAAAAAAAAGACAAATGAAACTGTAACTAAAAACAATTAAGACGAAAATACCATGAATCTAAAATAATATCAAATACAATCTAATATTGTCAACTACAATAAGATGAATAATAACTAAATATGAAAATATTGTGTATGATCAATATATATTAGAAAAATATCATAGATCACATTCTTTTAGTTTCATCTATAATCTCAAAGAAAAAAAAAAGAAACATAAAAAATTCATGTAATTCATGTATCTTTCATGCAATGAACGAAAAAGACTAGAGCAAAAGTTTGAACGACCATATATTTATTGATTTGATAACTTTACTATCATAACATAGCTTGGTGATTATTGCTTTGATTTAACTTGATCTTATATCAACTTTGATCAGTATTTAAAATACACTAATACATATTGAATATATATATAATGTTTTCATCTTCATTCATAACTAATATAGTTATATGTTGACAATATTAGGTTGTAATTAATATTATTTCAGTTTCATAATAGTCTCGACTGAATTATTTTTTAGTTATAACTTCCATGGCTGTTTTTTTTTTCTTTTGATTTGATTTGTAAAATTCAATAGTTCAATTTTCAAGTTCTTGTTCATCAATTGAAAAATGAAAGAGTTCTGTTTTTATTCATGTATTCTTTTTTTCTGTATAAGAAATAGAATATTTACGTTTTATATTTTTCTTTTATATGAAACCATGTAAAACTTTAAGAACGTTTTTATTATATTCCTTGTTGATAAATTAGATAAATCTTTTAATATGTACAGTTGCAACTGCAAACGAATTTTAGTAATTAAAAACATGAGCGAAAGTTTTTTCTAAAGGACATTGCATAAATTATTGATTAGAAAAGTAAAAACAAACGTAATAATGTGTATTATACTCATTATTTATTTCATGATATAATGATTTTTCGTTTTCAAAGTATTTATTAGCATACTATCGGTACCAAATGAATTTCTCCCCTTTGTTTTTTTTTATTACTATACTTCTTTTATTTATTAATCCACTATATATAGTGAGAAAGCCCGAAGCGCGCTTCTTCTTTTGATATATTTACGTTGATCATAAAACGTAATTTAAAGTATAAAAAATGTCCTGGAAAACAAGTAACATTTTGTTTTACTACATAGTGTTCTTAATATGGTAATATTTTTTTATTTCACATATATCTTGGCTTAGATAGAAGATAAAATCTTGAATTTTTTTTTTCAAAAGATGCGCTGTGAAAAGCTCTATAAAACCTGAATGATTGAATTCCAGTTATCCTGTTCTAATAGCTTTTCTTATACTCAAAATAAACAACTTACATGACAATGTCACTTCCCATACTATTGAAAATGTTTGAAACACTTTTTGGTTTCATATATATCGACTTGAGAAAATGATAGAATATTGGATTTTTTTTTAAAAGATGTACCATCGAAAGCTCTACAAAAGCTGTATGAACCAACTTATATAGAGAAACAAAAAAGTGTTCCAAACATTTTCAATATTATGACAAGTGACACTGTCATGTAAGTTGTTCATTTTGAATACAAGAAAAACCATTAGAACAGGATAACTAGAATTCAATCATTCAGGTTTTATAGAGCTTTTCACAGCGTATCTTTTGAAAAAACATCCAAGATTTTATCTTCTATCTAAGCCAAGATATATGTGAAATAAAAAATGTTACAATATTATGAACACTCGGCATTGTAGTAAAAAAAAATGACACTTTTTTCTAACACATTTTTTACATTTTAAACTATATTTGATGCTCAAGGTAAATATATAAAAAGATGCAGCGAATTCTGGGCTTTCTCACTATATATAGTAGATCAATAAATAAAAGAAGTATAGTAATAAAAACAAAAAAAGAACAAAGAGGGAAATTTACTTGGCCTCGATAGTATATATCGTTAGACGTGTTTAATAGGATAGTACATCAAAAACGTCTTTATGCTTCAAATATGCTATATGTGCTTATAGTTGTTCATCGATAATGTTTTCTTAGTTTAATCACTCGTGGTGCAACTGTTGTTTTTAGATATCAAATGTCGAGACGTTCTTTTATCTGCAATCATAAGACATAGTAGCGGTTCACCCATTAAGGAAGAACAATGAATAAAATAATTTTAGTTGTTTGTGTCTTATGATTGTTTATTATTTGTCAACGAAATTCACCACAGAATTAAGTTAAGATTTCATTTTTTTGCTTAGATTTTTAGATTATGCAACGATTCAAGTCTATTGAAAGTGTTGCATGAGTAACATTATCAGAGATATGTTCTTACAGACGCTTTTCAGTATTAAAGCTTTCGCTTGTATGAAAAAAAAAATCAATCGAGAGAACTTTGACTAAGAATCAGAACCTTAGCTTAAAATACTCTTGCCAAATAGTCATTATGTAATGCCTCTGAATAACGGTTCGAAAACATTTAATTCTAAATATATACTATAAAAATTCATGCACGCATAATTGCTATGAAAGAAAAAGGAAGTCTTTCCAAGAAGTAATTTTTTATATTCGAAACGAGAAGAAAATTATTTTTATAAAAAAAAAAAAAGCAGTAATGTTAAATATTAACCTTACATATACTTCGCTGTGCATTAATTGGATTAAGTACACGATAATGTAGTTACAGTTATTTTATAAAAGAGACGATATATCTGAATGCTTTTCTCCTCAGAAAATGGAGTAAAATAAAAAATGATTTCCTTTTTCTAACATTGAATATTAGTGAAAACTTTGTCAAAAAAGGATTATCACTATCATTTAAACAATTATTTTTCTACACTAAAATCACTTGCTACTTCATTTCAAGTATATGCGACAGTGTATTTAAATTGATTATCTTTTTTTTTTTTTTTTATAAAAATGACTTTTAAATTTCACAAGTGATATAGAAACCATTACTGTCATGCATTTGAGGCATGACTACAGGCGATCATATAAACTCAGAGATGTTTAATATTTTTTTTTTTCGTTTGCAATTATGAAGCGCATTTCCAGGCGCATCTTGATACGCTCATCAATTCAAACGCATCCAGATGCGTCACGAAAACGCGACTGTACGCGATTATCAATTTGAACGCATCCAATTGCGTCTCCAAAACGCGGATGAACGCAATCGTTTCTATGAACGCGTTCAGTTGCGTTTTCACCTCTAAAATCATGAAACGCGTTTGTACTCTGGATGCGTTCATCAATCTGAACGCATACAGATGCATCTCTGAGACGCGTAATGTAAACAAGTATTGATTGATTTAAATTGAAACTCTCTATGTAATAGCATTTGTTTTAATATTAATCTACATCGTTTTAATGTGCTTTTGAAACTTAGCGTAAAAAAGCAATTATCATGTCTATGTGTAAGATTTGATAACTATTCAAAGAATAAAAAAATAGGCGGATGTAAAACAATAGGTCATATGAGAAAGAAAAAGAAAATACAAGTTTCTGTTAGAAACGTCTCGACTATTATTTCAATCTTTTACTAGGTGTATACATTTTTTTTTTCAATCCTTATCAAAGCTTTTAACAAGTATTTCAACAATTATGAAAATTAATTATATATTGTTTAATATGTTTAAATAGTGTCGTAGATTCGGCAGTGTTTACTATCACTCAATATCTTTAAATAGCATCGAAGATAAAATAACTACGCATGAAATTATATTCTATATAAATAAGTAGCTGACAAGTATTTAAATATCTCAAGAGTTTTTAAACAAAGCTACAATTTGAAACAGTAAGTTCTCACGTCAGACGATTAAACTGAAACTTCAGAATAGACATAGAGAATATTAATCAGTATATAACACACATGAAAATGCTGAACTCTTCTTTATGAAAATGTAAAAGAGAATTGTAATTTTCCGGAGAATGCTGTTCATTAATCTTTAGATTCAAAAATTTTTTTTTTTCTAGTGAACTGAAGAATGAAATGAGTAATTACTCACTTCATTTGTGTTTCACATAAAAACATACAAATCCACTATTTTGTATTCATACAAGTACTACGTATAGTCTTATATCGCTGTCATAGACGTCTATTGTGAGACTATTGTATCAAATTAGTCATTGAATATGACTTCATTTTGTTAAGAGAGACATTGAATGGCACTTCTAGTTCACTGATTATTTTAGTAGACAATACTAAATTAAAGAAAATGAGAAATGATGGCTGATATAAAAGCATCAGTTACTTACTAGAATTTCATTTAGAATGTTACAAGTCATGTTGTCGAATTCAACATCATTAAATACGATTGCTTGGCTTAACAGTATGAATGTACAATTGAATCGCTATCTTCCATTGCCATTTCTCGTACTCGGTACGATTGGTGTAATTTTAAATATTATTATATTCACTCGTCGAAGTCTTGTCATCAATTCATGTATACATTATCTTTTGGCAAATACAATAGCCAACTTTATTGTACTCTATTGGGTTGTTATTACACGAATCATATCCGATGGCTATAAAATCGATCCTAGTATTACATCGGATGTATTTTGTAAAATGAAATATTTTCTTACCTATGTTTCACGAACACTCTCAACATGGTTCCTCTTATTGGCCTGTATTGATCGGTGGGCATCGAGTATAAAAATACAACGACGCTTTAACAGTGTAAAATTCGTTCGTAGAGTCATTGTAATAACTACTATCATATGCATTGTGTCATTTTCTAATGTACCTATTTACTTTGGCGTTCAGAAAAATTCTTTTAGTTCAACTACATGCTACGCACAATCGGGACTCTATCGTATCTTTTCGGATCTTCAATATCTTGTCTTTTATGCGTTAGGTCCAGCTTTGATGATGTTGGCCTTTGGTTTAGCTACACTTCGCAATCTTCGACAAACTCATCGACAAGTTTTGTCAAATGGTACACAAACTACTAAAAGTACTGCACGACGTGACCATCAATTGTTTGCAATGCTTATCATGCAAGTGGCTTTGATCATTGTCTTCACTGCTCCATTTGCTGGTCAAAAATTATATGACACATTTATGCTGAATGTGAAAAAATCTTCCCTAGAAATTGCGCAGGACAATTTATATGCAGGAATTGTACGTATCTTATCATATGGTTCGCATGCATTCGGCTTTTTTGTGTACACTCTGTCGGCGCGTATCTTTCGCCAGGAACTACTCAAAACAATAAATAACGTATATCGACGAATCACGGGTCGAAATCGTATTTTCGACGTGAGAAAAGCCATTGCTATAACTCGAATGCATATGATTGAGACGAAACACATTTATTGTTCGAATAGACAAGCTAAATGAACGAACTCTCTGTAACTTGATTAGTGTTAAAATAAATCATATAAGTCTTTTATAAACAATAATATTACTTGCAGCACATATAAGAATAGCATCGCAATGCCATCATCACTATAAATAAATATCTCTTGCTGCTGACTTCGGATTGATATGAACAAAGAAAGTTGATAACTGTGATCTTTTATATAGAATAAATTTATGTAATCATTTCCATATAAAGCATGTTACTTCAGGTATGAAGCGGATGAATCAGCCCCATTTTCAGATCTGGTTCATGCATGCAATATAATGTTTAGATAGGTTGAAAATGACAAGTCATCCGTGGTGTGGATGTCGGCGGGCGTATTGCTCTTATATTCATCTGCAGGTGTGGATATAGGTGTGGGTGAATGTGTTGTCTTCATTCACAGAAACACTCATATTCAGTTCTTCATACATTTTAGACGAATGTCTGAGTTTGCATGATTAAAACCAAAACTTTATATCCATTTTCACCTACTTTTTTCTTATTCTACAAATTATGCAAGCAAATTAAAAAGAAAATCGTGCTTCGATTTAATGGCTACCTGAGTTTATGCTGCTGGCTATTTGTAACTTTTTGCATCAAAACATTATAAGAAATGACTACGTATATTTTTTCCTCCATCTTTTTGTCTATGGGTAAATATAATCAAGCATAAATTTATCTCAATTTGCCTGAAAAGTATACATATAGACAATTGCAATTAGTTTTGTCAAACCCATCATCGATTCAATATCTATCCAATATAAGTTAGTTTGCTAGTCACAGCTAATCTAAAGTACATGTGACGAAAGAAAAGATCCATCATATATCTTTGTATAGAGCGCAACTTAATATGAAAGCATTTGTGATATTATTAAGTGTCGCTTGCCTGTCACTGTATTGATTAACGTCAGCAACTACAACAACATCATCCTTCATCTACACCTATAGTTGTTGCAATTTGGATCTCTCAAATTCTAATTGTGTATCCTCAGTTAATGATTGCAGTACATGCACTGATTAATGCATCGACTCATGTCCGAAATAATGAGGGAAGAAAACATAAATATCAATGGGATATCTCTTCAACCAAGTTCTCTGACGCAGTAGGATCCAAATGGTCAATCATCTTTCACCTTAGACTAGCTAAAGATATGAACAACAATTTGAATGAGACTTTTCTGATTGAATCAAATCTTCTTCGAAAAATTATTTATTCACATAAATAATATCTGAAGATAAATTAGAAAACTTATATTTTTCCATGCGTTCATCATAAATAAAACGTCATTTGTTAAGATTTCTGAATCTCTTGTAGATAACTTTGGTTATTAAAAATATTGCTTAGTAAAAGAAAATTCCAATGCAGCAAATTTTCGCGATCGAATCATTCTAATTTGTACAGGTCGATTTTCATTGAAAAATCTGTATTGTTTCAGACTATTTAAACAAAACGATTTTTCAATACGTTTGCAGCATAATGAATGGCTTCGCAACGTGACTTGAAATATCAAGCTTTTATCCACACACACACATGATCAAAAATCATATGAATGTTTTTATGTTTTTTTCTTCGAACAAATATTGGCTCAATCAAATACCATCTTTCAATATTTACTAATAAAATTGAACTAAAAACAAAAGAAAATTATCATTCAATTTATTGGATCAAACAGCATCAAACATAAATTATTTTCTATTGATAAAGCTAACTTTCAATTTATCTGAAATTAAGATTGATCAACAAGCAATCCATTATCTCAAAGAAATGCTCTTTTCATGATTATTCTTTCTTTGATGATTTTCATCTCGAAAAAAATGTGCGGCTATAGATTTAAGCATACAATAGATCTATTATTATTTGCTACATATATAATCACTGATTTATGATATCAGCTAGTGAAGACGAAAAGAATGGTTATGAACTTTAGTACTAGAACAATTCGTCGTAATGAAATAATTCAATCATAATTTATATCTATTCTGCAACAATGAAATGACCTACTCAATTACGTATGAAACATGTAATCCAATGACTAATAATTATTTAAAATGTTATTAATAACTAAACTTTGATCTCCAATAGTATGATAATCTTCTTGATCAGATAAAAACTTTGACTGTTCGAACTATACAAGCAGATATTAGAAAATACTTTGAAAGAACTAGTGAGATTTAACACCAGCTGAAGAATAGCAGCTTTGACGTCACCAGAAAAAAACAATTTTTAATGAATTTCTGCTTTTAAATCTTCACATTTGACGTACAAAGCCTGTTAATTTTGTTACCACCACTTTTTATTTTATTTATTTAAAACTAAACTAGTCAGATTCAATCGATGATTGATAAAATGCCAGAAATAGTTTTGATGATATCTCGTAATTGAAGATGTTTACATCCTACTGATATTAGTTATGCAATAAGAAACAGGTTCGCTTTTATATCTTGCTAAGTTTTATTTCTAGTGGCACATCCTGAGATTACAAATTGAAGTTTAGCCATAATCAATATAAACTCAATAATTTTTAGAGTCATTGCATTACATATTTCAAAATTAATTTGAATACGTCACTTCATTGTTAGCAAATACATATAAATTATGATTGGATTATATCAATCCAATAAATTGTTCTGCAACAAATTGTTTGATCATCATTTCGCTATTTTAAGCTGAATATCAAATTGTTTTAATAATTGATTATTTGATTTTCTTTTTTAATAATTTATATACTGTGTGTGTATGAATTATAGAACGAATGATAAATAATTTTATGTTACATATTATTGTTATATTACTAAATTTTTCATAGAAACAGATCATCAACATCATATATAGATGTAAATTAAATTCATCCATTTGTATTTTAATAAATTTTTTTCAAACAATATTTAATAAAGTATATTTGTTTTATTTATAATCATGTTCGAGTTCAAGAAGATATGTATATTTATGATTTAAATCGATTATATTGTCAAAGATATATTTGTTCTATAAGATAAAGAAAAATTTATTTCGACAATAGGATTTAATTATTAATTCGAACCTAAATTATTATGTTTGTAAGAAGAATGAAGAAAAAGTGATTGTGAAAAGTTTCGTCTATGATATTAACTACTTTTCTTAATTTATCTTTTATAAGCTTAGTATAATCAGCAAGTTTTTGTGATAATTAACTAATCTGTTAAATAAAGTGTTTTGAACCCGAAATAAAAAATTTTAGAAGTTTCTTGGAAACGAAAGAACTATCATAGATTTAATCCAGAGAAGTTTTCATAAGTTTTGAAATTCGTTTTAACAATCGAAAGAGAATTCACCAATACATAGGTATGTTTCGCTCTATCGTACGGCCAAGAACATAGGCAAATAACTGTATGTGGAGATTTAAATTTCAAGGTGATTTTTTCAAAATCTCTTTGAATTCAATCCAAATAAAATTATTCGATAGTCAAGGATTTTCTCTATGAAAAACCGTAAATATCACATGTAAGCACACTATCTTTGTTTTGGACACAAGACCTCACATATAGAAGTTTAGTCTCGCTTATTTTCAGCGCCATCGTAGCCTTTATTTTCTTATTTGTGAATGAAGGCAAAATCACTATGTAAAAATTAGCAGCGGTGTGTTGCCAATTATCTATATTCCCACATCCACACTCATCAGATATTTTTGATAATTATTCAAAGGCATATGGAATATCAAAGTAGAATATTGTTTGAACGTTTGGTTGTGAGCGTATAAAAAACTAAGATCATTATCAACACAAAGAAACACCTACGTACACATCCTTCCTTCCTCATCTCACTAGACAGGTAGATGGCGTTGAAAACTGCATATTTCGCAAATTTTTTATGCTTTTATTTTATCTCGGTTCGAAGAAGAAAATAAAGTTTGATATGTCATTTATTATGATAATAAATATACGTTCTCATGTGATTCTCAACTGAAGAAAATCAAGAAGCATAGCTTCAGAAGGTCTCACCCGATAAGTTCTCGGTCCAAAAGAAAGACAAGGTGTAAATATCTGAGACACAGAAATATCTTTGACTATCAAATGATTTTATTTGAATCGAAATATTATTGAATCTTAATTGATTAAGAACTTTATTTTACAAAGATCTTTTGAAGATACCTTCTTGAGAAATGAAGTTCTCATACTCACTTATTTGTCTAGGTTCTTGATCCTATGATAGAGAAAACATGAACTTGATATGTTGAATTTTTTTGTTCTCGACATATATTGATCAATTATGTGGCTATGTTCTTTTTTAATATGAATAGTAATGATTTTTCATAAAGTGTTATTACTTCTGTGTTTTATTAAAAGTCATATATGTTTTATTATGAGTACCTTTGTTATTAAAATAAAAGGTGACCCTAGTTATCTTTTAATAATCTAAATTAGGTTTAAGTTGCTAACTTGTTAACCAATCATTTTTTTGCTTGTAAACGAAAAGTTTATTTCAATAGAAAACTGATAGATTTCATTGTCTTTCTAAATTCATGAAATTTACTGTTTAGCTTATCTCAAGAGCTGCTTTAGATATAGACAAGGTTAATGCTGTCAGAAATAGAAACTGAGTGAACAATAAAATTAGTAGATAAATTAGTTTTCTATCAATAGAATCTCTGACAGAACTCCTAATCTGTAGGGCAGATTCAAAATCGATCAACCATGAATAGAATTTTCTATTTATAATCCAACCCCTGAGGAACTCTAATTCTTATACTTTTTTATTATTTATTAAAGTTCATTTTCAAATAAAATTCAAAGAACATTTGTGAAATAAATATTGCAAT